TGCTTTGGGGAAAAAAATCAGTCATTTGATGCGTTAAAAATTATACTATTAAGTGAGTTTGTACCATAAACGTTTCTTCTCGTCTCTACATTACCAAACATCAGTTAAGAGTTTACTCTCACCTCTATATTACAATACATCAATTAAGAGTTTCCTTCCATCTCTATATTACATCAATTAAGAGTTTCCTCTCACCTTTATATTATCAAACATCAATTAAGAGTTTCCTCCCGTCTCTTTATAACATTGTTACAAAAAACGCGATTCTAAAAAGCTTAGAGATCTTCAGTGAATACTAGAAAGGACTGCCCTTCTAGCATCCAGCCTGTTACTGGGTTTTCGTAACAAGTAGTCAGTATCCTGGTCCAATTATCCATTAGAATTCAATAAGAATTATTAGTGCTTCAGGATTACAACTGGTAGGCTACTAACTAGAGAAATTAAAATTTAATAAATTTATTAAGTTGTCTAGGTGTATATCAAATTAAATTAAATTAATCACAATAATCAAAATAATATTAATCACTTCTCTCGTGTACAGTATTATTGTGCTGAAAGCACATATCACATTTATAATTCTTAAGTACCGTCTGGTACATTAACATTTAATAAGATATTACAAATATGTACAAGTAAGTTTTTGTGTATGTGTGTAAGTGCTCTAAGTAGTTCGCTATGTCTCACGACTCGGCTAGACTTAAACAAGTGACTGACAAAGTCCTCAAATAAACTAACTTCTTGACCAACTGGCAGTCAGAACAGTCTGCTTGAACAATAAAAAGAATGCTAAGCCCAATAGCAATATAACAAGCAACTGCAACACAGAATCAGGAACAAGGAGATAATATAATGCCACTAAGTAGGGACCATCAGCAGATCCTCCACAAAAGTCACAAAACTCCCATACTACTGAATCTAAGTTCAGCATAAGAAAATCCCCGACTGTGACAATACACAGATACCAGTACAAATTAGATCAGAAGCTCCCGCTCAGGACCTGAGTTGCTCAGAGTGTCTAAGAGACACACAACTTCAGTACAATGTCGAAAATCACTAAGTCTATACAATGTTCTGTGAACAGAGTTCCACAGAACCTACAAGAAAGCTATAGAGAGGATCTTCCAACAAGGGCCAATAAGGGAGATTTAGGCACTTATTGTCAAGAATACGTCCAACCACCAAGCGAGTCTAGACCAGACTGAATACTTCAGGCGAGGTGAGAACACCCCCCCCCCCATCACGTGATAGCTCCGTGGACAGTTGCTGCTCAGCAACAGAAGCCGGCAGAGTAACGAGCAAAGAGCGATAATTACAGTAATTAGACAATCAAGACTTGAACTATGAGCACATAATAATATGTTACATCCTACCGAACAAAAGTAACTAAGACAAATACTAATAATATAAAGTCATATATTTACGATTTAGCTATTATCGCAAATATAAGCAATATAAAATTATATAAAAAGATAATATACATTATATACATATACATCATATACACTGTAACCCATTCAGGGGTTGCAACAACATCAATTAAGAGTTTCCTCTCACCTCCGCATTATCAAACAGGGTAACTAGCATCAATGTTAGGTAAAAGGACACAAGTACAACTAATGTGACATTTTATTGTGGCAACATTTCGCTCTCCAGGGGTTTTGTCAAGACTTGACAAAGCTCCAGGAGAGCGAAACGTTGCCATAATAAAATGTCACATTAGTTGCATTTGTGTCCTTTTACCTAACATATTGTGGGTAACTGTACCATTGTTACAACTAGCACCAACGTTACAACTAACACCAACGTTACAACTAGCACCAACGTTACAACTAACACCAATGTTACAACTAACACCAACGTTACAACTAACACCAACGTTACAACACAAACGTTACAACTAACACCAATGTTACAACTAACACCAACGTTACAACCAACACCAACGTTAAAACACCAACGTTACAACTAACACCAGCGTTACAACTAACACCAACGTTACAACTAACACCAACGTTACAACTAACACCAACGTTACAACTAACACCAACGTTACAACTAGCACCAACGTTACAACACCAACGTTACAACTAACACCAACGTTACAACTAGCACCAACGTTACAACTAACGCCAACGTTACAACTAACACCAGCATTACAACTAACACCAACGTTACAACTAACACCAACATTACAACAAACACCAACGTTACAACACCAACGTTAAAAACTAACACCAATGTTACAACTAAAAACCAGCATTACAACTAACACCAACGTTACAACTAACACCAACATTACAACAAACACCAACGTTACAACACCAGCGTTACAACTAACACCAATGTTACAACTAACACCAACGTTACAACTAACACCAACGTTAAAACACCAACGTTACAACTAACACCAGCGTTACAACTAACAGCAACGTTACAACTAACACCAACATTAGAAATGACACCAACGTTACAACACCAACGTTACAACTAACACCAATGTTACAATTAACACCAACGTTACAACTAACACCAACGTTACAACTAACACCAACGTTACAACTAACACCAACGTTACAACACCAACGTTACAACTAACACCAATGTTACAATTAACACCAACGTTACAACTAACACCAACGTTACAACTAACACCAACGTTACAACTAACACCAACGTTACAACACCAACGTTACAACTAACACCAACGTTACAATTAACACCAACGTTACAATTACACCAACGTAACAACACCAATGTTACAACACCAACGTTACAATTAATACCAACGTTACAACTAACACCAACGTTACAACTAACACCAACGTTACAACTAACACCAACGTTACAACTAACACCAACGTTACAACTAACACCAACGTTACAATTACACCAACGTAACAACACCAGCGTTACAACACCAACGTTCCAACTAACGCCAACATTACAACTAACACCAACGTTACAACACCAACGTTACAACTAACACCAACGTTACAACACCAACGTTACAACTAACACCAACGTTACAACTAACACCAACGTTACAATTACACCAACGTAACAACACCAATGTTACAACACCAACGTTACAATTAATACCAACGTTACAACTAACACCAACGTTACAACTAACACCAACGTTACAACTAACACCAACGTTACAACACCAACTTTACAATTAACACCAACGTTACAACTAACACCAACATTACAAATAACACCAACGTTACAACACCAACGTTACAACTAACACCAACGTTACAACTAACACCAACATTACAATTAACACCCACGTTACAAATAACACCAACGTTACAACTAACATTAACGTTACAACTCACACCAACGTTACAACTAACACCAACGTTACAACACCAACGTTACAACTCACACCAACGTTACAACACCAACGTTACAACTCACACCAACGTTACAACACCAACGTTACAACACCAACGTTACAACTAACACTAACGTTACAACACCAATGTTACAACTAACACCAACGTTACAACTAACACCAACGTAACAACTAACACCAATGTTACAACTAACACCAACGTTACAACAACGTTACAACTCACACCAACGTTACAACTAACACCAACGTTACAACTAACACCAACGTTACAACTAACACCAAGGTTACAACACCAACGTTACAACTAACACTAACGTTACAACTAACACCAATGTTACAACCCCAACGTTACAACTAACACCAGCGTAACAACTAACACCAATGTTACAACTAACACCAACGTTACAACACCAACGTTACAACTAACACCAACGTTACAACCAACACCAACGTTACAACTGACACCAACCTTACAACTAACACCAACCTTACAACTAACACCAACCTTACAACTAACACCAACGTTACAACTAACACCAACGGTACAACTAACACCAACGTTACAACTAACACCAACGTTACAACACCAGCGTTACAACTAACACCAACGTTACAACTAACACCAACGTTACAACTAACACCAACGTTACAACTGACACCAACCTTACATCTAACACCAACCTTACAACTAACACCAACGTTACAACTAACACCAACGTTACAACACTAACCTTACAACTAACACCAACGTTACAACTAACACCAACGTTACAACTAACACCAGCGTTACAACACCAACGTTACAACTAACACCAACGTTACAACTAACACCAACGTTCTTCTTCTGGGTTAGGCTACATTGAGCTAGATTTAAGCGAATTAGTTTTGACTACGCAAAACTTCATTAGGGAGGTAGACAAGTTTAATCCTAGGAAGAGGGGAAGAGCTTCAATTACCGATATCACTAGCCGCTCCCCAGCATCAAGGTCCCCCCACCTTCCTCATCAAGGGAGGCCTGGGATAGGCTGTGCTGGACTAGGTTACCCTTTTAAGAATGCAGCGTTAATTAAAAGTTTTATTACACTAATGGGGAAGCGCTAAACCCGTTAAGGGTTATGCATTTTCGACCCAGGGAAAGGGACGTCAGGTCCAATTCCTTGGATGAAGAGCCTCTGAGAGGCGTCAGTTAAGAATATTAAGCTAGGCTGGCCTGAAGAACATCCTATCACCACCATAAATTCCTAACCCTTTTTTATTGCCTGTTTTATTAATGCTTGTTTTATTAATAAGTATTAATACCTATAATACCTATTTTAATGTCTATTTTTCTAATAGCTATTAATGCCTATTTTATTAATACCCATTTTACTAGTACCTATGTCTATTAATACCTGTCAGTGCCCACCTTAACACAGGTAATATCATCGTAGCAAACGTAAGTAGAATACATAACCACAATAATAAATGTGGAATAACAAAGGACAAAAAACAGTAATAAGCGATAACGGCAATAACAGTGAAAACAGACAATAAGAGATATAATAAAAATAATAATAATAATAATAATAATAATAATTATTATTATTATTATTATTAGTAGTAGTAGTAGTAGTAGTAGTAGTATTGAAGGACAGTGGCAAGCTTATAAAACGAAACTAGAGCAACAGAAAATTAAGTTTTAGGTTAGAAAAGGGAGGATAAGAGATAAGATAGGATAGATATAGATAAGAAATACAGTACTGAACAAACAGTACAAGAATATAAGAAACTTACGAATAAATCAATGATGAGTAAAAAATCATAACGGTGAGAACGAATGGAAAATAAAAATTATTTGGGTTATAACTTATTGAGAAGACGTTTCGCTCACTAGGTGGACGAAATGTTCTCTCCATTGTCATAAACGCTTATTTGTCTTATAAATATACTTGTTGGTATATAATACCACTAACATACTAAAAAACATAATGAGATAATTTGCAGGGGAAGACAAGGTTGAGCAAGACTCACACTGGTGTAGGACTGACGATGATGACACTGGAGTGACCTCCACTCTACGTCATTATACTTAATGTACAGAACAATGTTAGTAATGACTTTTTGACGCCTGACTGCAGCTACTGCTGCTCCTCCTCCTCTTTCTGCTTCTGCTGTTCCTTCTGCTGCTTCTCCTCTCTGCTTTTCCTGGTGCTGTTCCTCCTGCTGCTTCTCCTTTTTCTGCTTTTAATGCTTCTCCTGCTGCTGCTGCTGCTGCCGTTCCTCCTGATGTTTCTCCTGCTGTTGCTGCTCCTCCTCTTTCTGCTGCAGTTTTTCCTCCTGCTACCGTTGTTGCTGCTGTCGCTGCTTCTCCTGCTGCTGCTGCAATTTTTACTACTATTGTTGCTACTACTGTCTCTGCTGCTTAAGCTGGTATTGCAGTTTCTGCTACTGCGTGCCACTCACCTATCCCTAACACTCATCAAGTGAGAGTTTAGGGAAGTATGTCTGGCTTTTGTGCGAGTGGGTGTAATTATCTGTTTGTAATTACTTATTGGAGTTTACGGTGAATTGTATGCGGGAAGCATTACATCCGTACGGGTGATATATCGCTGGGGGAATGAGAGGAATATATTTTATAGTGAAGCGCCAAACCCATAGCAGTACAGAGCCTGGGGAATGGATGACTATTAGGTTTGAAGGGGGGAATGTCTTCAATTTCTTGGATCAGGAACCCTTCAGCATCAAAGCACCATCTATGAAGGGGGAAAGAATGACTTAATTCCTTGGATGATAAAATGCATTGCATACTAGTAGCTTTCTTTGTTTTAGAAAGACGTGAGCAAACACAAGGACATATTTATTAGAAAACGTTTCGGTCCTGGGACCTTGGTCACTTCTAACAGAGGTTAAAAAGACGGTATATATAACCCCTCTATGTTAGAAGTGATCGAGGTCCCAGGATAGAAACATTTCCTAATAAATATGTCCTAGTGTTTGCTTACGTGTCTTTCTAAACCAATTTGTGGTTATCTATTACCAAGGTTTACACTAGCTTTCTTTGTGCCTAACAGTGTTTTATTACAAGAAAACTACATTATCTGTACCACATAAAGTAATAAAAATTGTACTTTATTCGTCCCTGCTTAAACGAGATGGGACTTAGACGACAGCAAAGAAATGAGTGAGATACTGAAGTCCCGCTATTACTCAGCGTTTAGTGAGCCGTTAATTAGACAAAGGGTCGACAATCTAAAGATTTTTTTTATGACCGAGACTCAAAATCTGGTTAATTAAAAAAAATCTGATATTATCCTAACACAAGACTCTGAAAAAGCAATAAATGACATGCCCATGCACTCTGCCCCAGGCCCAGACTCGTGGAACTCCGTGTTCATCAAGAACTCCAAAGAAACCCCTTTCACGTGCCTTAAGTATTCTATGGAGAAGCAGCATAGGCACAGGGGTCATCCCACAGTCACTAAAACAACAGACATGGCCCCACTTCACAAAGGTGGCAGTGAAGCAATTGCAAAGAATTACAGACAGACAGCACTAACGTCCCACATCATATAAATCTTTGAATTGGTTCTAAGAAGCAATATAACGAGTTTATTTGGTAGGCTGAAAGCGGGGTTTGAATTATTGACATCTTCGGAGGCTTCTTACTTTATTTGTTAAGTCGTGGTGGGTACACAGGCTTGTGTGTTGTGCCCATGGCCCGGGCAAGGCCATCCCACGAGAGAGAGCTACTAGGCCTACTGTTTTGACTGCTTGAAGAGTGACGCCAGAGTGAGAGCGTGGCAAGGGCAGACAGGCTGGCGTGCCCACCGAGAGGTCTGGCTACAGAGGGCAACACCTTAGTGGCACGAAATATGAACTAAGCTGGCAGACAGCATAGGCTGTCTGTGCAGACAGTACAGGCTGTCTACATACGCTCGGCCACCTACCTCGCGTCATCCCGACGCGACAATACTGGTGGTAAAGGAAACTCGGTCTCTCTCTCATATGAACAGGGCACAGAACACAAAATAAAAACATATGCATACATATGGACATGGAAAAAAAACTTCCTACAGGGAGGGAATTAAAAAAACACGTGGGGTGTGCTAAACATCGTGGTCATAGGCAGTGAGCATCGAAGGGCATCACTGCACACCTTCCTGCGTCTGGACAGATACTGCAACACAGGAAACATCGCTGCGGCTGAGCTGTGACGCAACAGGCTACGGTCTCTTCTGGAACGGTGAAGCAGACATTGTAGGAGTCGCTGCAGGTTTTCACTCAACCTGGGGCACGACATGCTGGTGCCCTCGAGTGAGGCGTCGACAAAACTCGGCAAATGGGCAGGACTTCTGGCAAGCGACTCAGGAGGACACTTCTCAACTGGTACTGTCACTGGGCTGTCACTGCCGGCGAGCGTGGAGCGAGTTGTGGAGCGAGTCATGGCCGAGATGACTGGGCGAAACATCTGGGAGTCGTAACATCATACACCAGACTGCAGTGAGAGAGCTAGCAGTCAAAGTGACATCTTCTTTGTGCAGGCTGCTCACTGAAGTTTGTGACACGAGGCTGACACAGCGCCTGCCAACAGGGCTAACTACGGCTTGACGAGTGTCATTCTCTTGGCAGTTGGAGTTATAGCAGAGGTTAGTATAAGCGTCCCCAGACTTGTTTCTCTACATATAACTGCATTCTGAAGGTCTGGAGGTGAAGTGAAACAAATCTCGATGGGAATCGTAGCAGGTACGATTCTGCAGAACATCACGAGCGACGAGCATAAGAGCTTTCTGTACAAGGGCTTGGGGCTCAGGGCTGTCTGATAACAACTGTCAAACACACTGGTCACACGGGTGACTTAGCACAGTGGTGCTACTCAGGTCTGGCTCAGACCTCACTGGACACACAGAAACTTTAAACACACCCGCGGTACATGCGGTACACTGACTGAGAGGAATTAATTAACACACGACATATATCTTCTCTCAATCTTCTCGACAATACTGAAATATTTACTAGAAACACTCGATGTGACATCATGTGATGTCATGTGTGATGTCGTGAGGTGACGTCAGCAGCACTGTGATGTCAGCAGACATCTTGAGGTGACGTTAGGCAGACATCGTGACGTCATGAAGTCGGACAGCATCGTGGGTGACGTCAATGTAATGTGGGCAGCAGACCACAGCATGAGGCCTGGGACATCTGGTAACTCACGTGGCTGGTAGATCTACGTGACATCACCCACGCCCACGTGGCGTCGGGATCCACATGGCATGATGATCTATGTGACTTGCTGATCCACGGGGCTTGCTGATCTACGTGGCTTCGAGTGGCCTTGGGCACTCGGATACACAGCTCTGGCAATGAATCACACGAAAAACAGCATAAAACACAGCAGACGGAGTGGGCAGTGGTGAGTGTATGGTAGTGTTGTGGCGAGGAGCGTGGGTGAGTGTATGGCGAGGGGGCATGTGGCCACTTCCTCCTCTCCCACCCACAAACATGTGGAGAAGCTCACACTGGACGCAGAAATCACCACAAAACTCACCTCTGGCTTGCTGAAACAGCTGTGCTGAGCTGAACAACAACAGCAACATACAAGTGACGTTGAACAGGTGACTTGAGAAACAGTGTGGGACGCTGTAGCGTGGGGTCACTGTGACGCCACTTACAATTCTCGGAGAAATTCAGAGAGTTTCGGCTGGATCCTGCTTGTACCTGTGTCTGGATGCTCAAACGTGCAGACACGACATTAGGATAACTCGTTGAGAGATGGATGCTTCTTGTATAGGGTGATAAAGTGAAGATGATTTCATCCCTTCCTTCCTCTGGTGGCCTGGTGGTTAACACTCTCGCTTCACACGGCGATGGCCTGGGTTCGATTCCCAGCCAGAGTAGAAACATTGGACGTGTTTCTTTCCACCTGTTGTTTATGTTCCCCATCAGTAAAATGGGTACCTGGGTGTTAGTCGACTGGTGTGGGTCGCATCCTGGGACACTGACCTAATTTGCCCGAAATGCGGAGCATAACAAGGGACTTTCTATATAGTAGTATGACATTGTTGTCAGCTAGGACTGTATACCTTGTACATGTACTTGTAGTAAATAAAGATATGATTATTATTATTATTATTATTCCTCTCTCTGGGCAAACACAACTGCTGCGACCATGCTTCCCACCATTTATAACCAGGTTTGTTTGGCGTTCTGGTAGCAGGGAGTAAATGATAAACTTCTTCGGAGGCTTCTTTGTTTATTGTTAAGTCATGGTGGGTACACAGGCTTGTGTGTTGTGCCCATGGCCTGGGCAGGGCCATCCCATGAGAGAGAGCTACTAGGCCTACTGTCTTGACTGCTTGAAGAGTGACGCCAGAGTGAGAGCGTGGCAAGGGCAGACAGGCTGGCGTGCCCGAGAGGCCTGGCTACAGAGGGCAACACCTTAGTGGCGCAAAATATGAACTAAGCTGGCAGACAGCATAGGCTGTCTGTGCAGACAGTACAGGCTGTCTACAGCAAGATCACCATCCACTTAGATATCCATCAGTTACACAACCCATGGCAGCATGGGTTTAGAGCAGATCCTTCCTGCCTATCCCAACTACTGGGCCACTATTACATAGTCTTGGATGCTCTGGAGGAAAAACAAAATGCAGTAGTAGTATACACAAACTTTGTGAAAGCCTTCGACAAGTGCGACCATGGTGTAATAGCACACAAAATGGGTGATAAAGGAATAACAGGAAAAATGGGTAGATGGATCTATAACTTCCTAATAAATAGAACAAAGTAAAAGTAAACAGAGTCAGGTCTGAGGCGGCTACAGTGAAAAGCTCTTCCACAAGCCATAGTACTCGCGCCCACCCTGTTCCTCAACCTCATATCTGACATAGAGATGTAAGCCACAGAAATGTGTCTTCCTTTGCGGATGACACCCGAATTTGCATGATGGTGTCATCCATCGAAGACACTGCAAATCTCCAAGTGGACATCAACCAAATCTTTAAATGGGCCACATGAAGTTCAATGAAGATAAATTTCAATTACTCTGCTTTGGAAAACTCGAGGAAATTAAAACTGTATCAGAGTATAAAATAAATTCCAACCACACAATAGAGCGAAAAACTAATGTGAAGGACCTGAGAGTGATAATGTCAGAAAATCTCACTTTCAAAGATAACAATGTATCTACCACATCTGCTAGGAAAATGATAGGATATATAATGAGAACCTTCAAAACTAGAGATGCCAAGCCCATGATGATTCTCTTCAAATCGTTTGATCTCTCTAGGCTGGAATATTGTTGTACGCTAACGACCCTTTCAAGACTAGCGAAATTGCAGACCTGGAGAACACACACAGAACTTTCACGAGACATGTAAGTACGATAAAGCACCTAAATTACTGGGAACGGCTGAAGTCCCTTGATTTGTACTTCCTAGAACGCAGGCGAGAAAGATACATGATAATATACACTTGGAAAATCCTAGGACTAGTCCCAAATCTTCACACAAAAATCACTTCCTCTGAAAGCAAAAGACTTGGCAGGAGATGAAAGATCTCCCCAATGAAAAGCAGGGGCGCCACGAGTATGCTAAGAGACAACACAATAAGTGTCAGGGGCCAAAGACTGGTCAACTGCCTCCCAGCATACATAAGGAGGAATTACCAACAGACCCCTGGCTGTCTTTAAAGAGCTGGACAGGCACCTAAAGTCAGGTAAAAGGACACAAGTGCAACTGATGTGACATTTTATTGTGGCAACGTTTCGCTCTCCAGGAGCTTTATAAAGCTTGATATAGCTAAAAAACAAACCATACCACGGGCGGGGATAGAACCCGCGATCAGAATCTCAAAACTCCAGGCCGTCGCGTTAGCCACTGGACCAGCTAGCCATAATGGTCCAGTGGCTAACGCGACGGTCTGGAGTTTTGAGACTCTCTGATCGCGGGTTCTATCCCCACCCGTGGTATGGTTTGTTTGCAATCGTGTCATTACGATTTCGTGAGTCTTGATATAGCTCCTGGAGAGCGAAACGTTGCCACAATAAAATGTCATATTAATTGCACCTGTGTCTTTTACCTAACATATTGTCGGTAATTCTACCAACATTAATACCACCTAAAGTCAATACCTGACCAGCCGGGCTGCAGTTCGTACGTCGGTTTACATGCGGTAAGCAGTAACAGCGTGGTTGATCAAACCCTGATCCACCACGAGGCCTGGTCACGGATCGGACCGCGGGGGCGTTGACCCCCGAAACCGCCTCCAGGTATAGCATCAAGGCACTTCTCATGATAGCTCACATGAGAAGTGCCTTTTTTCATTCGTTTTAATCGTCAGGGGACAGGATGAAGTGTCTCCTGACTCGGGTCTGAGTCACGTAGATGACCCAAGTGCCTGATAATTTTTGACTGCTGTAGTGGCGAAAAAGATATCTATTTTTAATAAGATTATTAACCCAGAAGGCTTCAGGAGCCCAGGATAAATCATTAAAGCCACTCTGGCTTATTTTCATTGGGGTCCTTCGATTCTCTCCCCCAGAATACGACCCACACCAGTCGGCTAACACCCAGGTACCTACTTGCTGCTGGGTGAACGTTTCCACTTGTGCTAGGATCGAGGCCAGGTCCTTCAGATGTGAGCTACAGGCATTACCACTCGAGCCACAACCACCGGAGACTTGCAGACGAGTCAAACAAACTGCCAAGTCTTGACTTTTTTTTTTTTGTTATCCTAGGTAATTTGCTACTTATATATGATAATTTGTAAATGTATTTATGTGTACCTGTACCTAAATAAATTTACTTACAAGTAGCTTTATTGAAGTAGACATTTTGGGTAGCTTTAAAAATAGGATAAACAAATACATAGTGGGAATGGTGAATGGGTGACAGTTGGAAGTACTTTTAACAAGGGCCAGCTGGCCTACTACAGTGCCCCTCGGATAATATATTTATAATTACAATAGTAAACATACCTGATATAGGGTTCCACGATCTCACGATGAACTGTAAACTCGCACTAACCTGAAACAGCAGAGAAAATTATTCATATACCAGACACCATCTAAACATCTCAGACGCTCAGTGAACTTTTATAATCAAAACAAAGTGCTAAACCTACTAGGGTCAACGCTCAGTGAAACATATAAACAGGCAATTGTAAGATTCAATACCTATTTTAAACGACTCGGAGAAAGATACTGGACAAGCGTCCTCATTTTATAACTGAGAAATTGAGCAAGTCTTGCCTAGTTAACAGGACGTTCTGTGGGTATAGAAGACGTAACACAAAGCAAGTGTACTAAGAGACAACAGAATAACCTGTGTGTGTCTGGGTGGCTGCACCACCACAGAAACGTATCCCCGTATTGCATAAGCAGTTCCTGTACTTCATTGTATGCGACTGTAATAGTGCAGAGTGCGGCGTAAGTTGATAATGCAGTTAAATATTAGCACTGAAGATCTGAAGAGGCCCAAAAAAGGCATTCACAAGCCATCATGTGGGAAAAGTTATTGAATGATTTAAATTATCATTACGAACTTCCTGTCGTGACTAAGTTATTACAGTAGAACATCGCGGAAAACGATGGTTACGTTATTGAAAATAACACTTTACGCAATGTCGCGCATTGTAATGTGAAGTGTGAGAAAAATTGGGTAAAGATAAGATTTGTTGTGATTTTTAAGCCCAGGGGAGGGTTAGCCACCCAGGATAACCCAAGACAATGCTACATCAAGGAACCTGTCTAACTTCCATTGTGGTCCTTCAATCTTGTCCCCCCAGGATGCGACCCACACCAATCCTCTAACATCCAGGTATCTACTTACTGCTAGGTGAAGAAAGACAGCAGGTGTAGACATGCCCAACGTTTCCACCAGCGCCTAGGATTGAACCGGACACTCAGTGTGACGTGAAAATGATGTCAACTTAGCTGAAAGACGCCACCAGGGCTAGGATCTTTAATAAAAAAAATAATTTATTACATTAAAAATTGTGAAATTTTGGGTTCCTTACATTGTAGAGGCCATGACTCGTTGATCTAGAAAAATGTTATGTACTCAAAATCTAGATAAAAAGCTTACTATGAGAAAACTTGCCAGCGGCATAGTAGGCAACGCTTTCGCCTCCACAGTCTCCGTGGTTTAATTCTCCGTATGGGTGGAAACATATAATAATAATAGTAATAATAATAATAATAATAATAAATATCTTTATTTACTACATGTACAAGGCATATAGGCCTAGCTAACATGAATGACATACTACTATATAGAAAGCCGTTTCTTATGCAAAGAATTTCGGGCTAATTAGGACAGTTTTGTCCCAGGATGCGACCCACACCAGTCGACTAACACCCAGGTACCCATTTTACTGATGGGTGAACATGGACAACCGGTGTACGGAAACATGCCCAATGTTTCCATCCCTTCACCAGGGATCGAACACAGACCCTCACTGTGTGAAGCGAGAGCTTTTGTCACCAGGCCACGGGGGCCTGCTGTCCTCGTTCACCTAGCAGTAAGTAGGTACCTAGGTGTTAGTTGACTGGTGTGGGTCGCATCCTGGGGGACAAGAAGCTGGTGGTTCACACTTACACTCACTCACCCATTTGACCATAAACAGAAATATTAACCTCAATCTTAAAATAATGAATCCTGTGATACTCCAATACTGAAACTATGTACTGTGCCAAAACAAAAGTATTCACATTGCTAAACTCACAAACTAGTATTTAGTCACTTAGCCATAATACCAACTTACCTCATAATTTGTAATATTTTACAATTAAGAATAAAACTAAGTCTGCCCGAAATGCCTAGCCATGCTAAGCGTTCTAGTGGTACACTCTGTAATCACTATTTTACTACATGTAAACCAAACAATAACCAAATTTCTGTACTCAGCATTGTAATCCTTATAGAGAATAAACTTTGAATTGAATTGAATTGACGAGAAATGCCAGAGCAGCTAAGCTCTAATGTATCTTGGTAATCCAATTTTAATTAATCTCGAGTTAAAAATTTCTAACAAATCTAATTTGAACAGACCCATGCAAAGCGTTATATTGAAGATCAAGAAGTGCCCAATGAAGAGTCATGCTAATGCACAAAAGTTGGGATTTTCTATTATTTAATACTACGGTTAAAATTTTAACTTATTAATTTGAATGACCTGTATGCACATGTCATAAGACCAGTTAATGTAACAGTTTCAAGAAGAGTACAAAAGGTGTTCTTGATGTAGCTATAAGAAAGAATAACTTATTTTATATAGGTAAAGACCCATAAATTTTCACATTTCTAGTATCTTGGGTTTCCTAGGTAGTCTTAAATATGCCTTGGTTAGTAATTCTATTTAAGTATTGTATATAGTTATTTCATTGTAATAATCAAGAGAAGCTAAACCCGTATTTAAGCGTATAAGGGGGGAAAGGACCACATTGGCTTAATTCGGGTAACTGTGTCACTGACTATTTAAATCAGGATCTCTACCACACATTATGAATCTTCTTAGGGTATTTGTGTATACCTGAATAAACTTACTTACTTACTGCGTCATGCTGATGTTTGACGTAGTATACTATGTATTTCCTCCAGAGAAAATGGGCATGGCATTCCTTCCACAAAAAACAGAAGCTAATGCACTACCAATTACTAATATAAATTTAAAAAGTATTGCTTCCATTATTTTATATTTATATATTTGAAAGTATGGTTTAAGTGTTGAATGATGGCGAAAGTATGTCTTTTTTTGGGTCACCCTGCCTCGGTGGGAGACGGCTGACGTGTTAGGAAATATAAATTTCCCAACATTCAACACTTTCACCATCACTCATACATAATCACTGTCTTTGCAGAGGCGCTCAGATACGACAGTTTATTAGAAGTCCCTCCAAACTACCATTATCCCAAACCCCTCCTTAAAGTGGAGGCATTGTACTTTCCATTTCCAGGACTCAATTCCCGCTAATCGGTTTCACTGAATCCTTTCACAAAATATTACCCAATGGAAATAAGTCACTCTGTCTGACTTTTTTGGGTTATCCTAGGTTCTCTACACATATGCTGCTATGTATGATAATTCTATGTAACTGTGTTTGTGTATACCTGAATAAACTTACTTACTTACTCACACTCCAACAGCTCGTTAAGTCCAAAAACCATGCTCTCCGCCTCCATTCACTCCTAACACACTCACACATGCCTGCTGTATGTCCAAGCCCCTTGCACACAAAACCTCTTTTACCCCCTCCCTCCATCCTTTCCTAGGATGACCCTTATCCCTCCTCCCCTCCACAACAGATCTTTACACCCTCGAAGTCATCCTATTTTGCTACAGCCTCTGTAAATGACCAAACCCCTCCTCAGCCCTCTGAATAATTTTTTTTAGCAACTCCACACCTAATTTCCACACTACGATTTATCTGCACAATACTATTTACACCACACATTGCTGTCAGACACGACATCTCCACTGCCTCCAGCCTCCCCTTGCTGCAGCATTTACAACCCATGCCTCACACCCTTATAAGTGTTGGTGCCACTATACTCTCATACATTTCCTTCTTTGCCTCCATGGATAACATTGTCTCCATATACACCTCAATGCACTTGCCCAGGTAACGTGTATGGTAGGATTATTATTATTTTTATATTAACATATTGGCCGTCTCCCAACAAGGCAGGGTGGCCCAAAAAAGAAAAACTTTCATCATCATTCACTCCATCACTGTCTTGCCAGAGGCACGCTTACATTATATGTAGTTATAAATCCGTAACATCAAGAGAGAGCAGGATTGCAGATAAACAAGGAGGCTTTAGAATTTGTAGGGGATGTGTAGATCAAGTGTTTACATTGAACCATATATGTGAACAGTATTTAGATATAGGCAGGGAAGTTTTCATTGCATTTATGGATTTACGAAAGGCATGTGATAGGATGGATAGGCGAGCAATGTGGCAGATGTTGCAAGTGGTAAGTTACTAAAAGCTGTAAAGAGTTTTTATGAGGATGGTGAGGCTCTGGTAGGGTGTGTAGGTTAAACATCCATGTCACCATGGTTGTTTAACATATATAATTATAGATAGGGTTGTAAAAGAAGTAAATACTTGGGTGTTAGGGAGAGGGTTGGGATTAAACTGTAAGGAATCAAATACAAAATAGGAATTGACACAGTTACTTTTTGCTGATGATACTATGCTTTTGGGAGATTCTACAGAAAAGTTGCAAAGGTCAGTGACAAGTTTGGGAGGGTGCGTAAAGTAAGAAAGTTGAAAGTGAACATATAGAAGAGTAAGGTGATGAGGGTATCAAATGATTTAGAAAAAGAAAAATTGGATATAACAATGAAGGGAGGGTGTATGAAAGAAGTGAATGTATTCAGATATTTGGGAGTTTGACTTGTCAGCAGATGGGTTTATGAAGGATGAGATTAACCACAGAATTGATGAAAAAAACCGGTGAATGGCGCTTTCAGGTATCTGTGGAGACAAAAAACGTTATCCATGGAGGCAAAGAAGGCAATGTACAAGAATATAGTGGTACCAACACTCTTATCTTATGTGGACATGAAGCATGGGTTGTAAATGGTGCAGTAAGGAGGCGGCTGGAGGCAGTGGAGATGTCGTGTCTAAGGGCATTGTGTGGTGTAAATATTATGCAGAGAATTCGTAGTGTGGAAATTAGGAGGAGGTGTGGCTAAAGTGGCTAAAGCTCCCGCTTCACACACGGAGGGCCCGGGTTCGATTCCAAGCGGGTGGAAACATTTCGACATGTTTCCTTACACCTGTTGTCCTGTTCACCTAGCAGCAAATAGGTACCTGGGTGTTAGTCGACTGGTGTGGGTCGCATCCAGGGGGACAAGATTGAGGACCCCAATGGAAATAAGTTAGACAGTCCTTGATGATGCACTGGCTTTCTTGGGTTATCTTGGGTGGCTAACCCTCCGGGGTTAAAAATCCGAACGAAATCTTATCTTAGCCAGAGGGCTGAAGAGGGAGTGAAGTGGTTTGGTCCTTAAGGGAGAGTGGAACAGAGCAGAATAGCTTGGAGAGTGTATAAATCTGTAGGAGAAGGAAGGCAGGGTAGGGGTTGTCCTAAGAAAGGTTGAAGGGAAGGGGTAAGGGAGGTTTTGTGGGCGAGGGGCTTGGACTTCCAACAAGCGTGCATGAGCATTTTAGATAGGAGTGAATAGAGATGAACAGTTTTTGGGACCTGAGTTGGAGTATGAGCAGGATAATATTTTGTTAAGGGATTCAGGGAAACCGGGTAGCTAGACTTGAGTCCTGGAAATGGGAAGTACAATGCCTGCACTTTAAAGGAGGGGTTTGGAATATTGGCAGTTTGGAGGGACATCTAAACTGTCGTATCTGAGCACCTCTGCAAAGACAGTGATTATGTGTGAATGATGGTGAAAGTGTGGAATGATGATGAATGTTTTTTCTTTCTTTTTGGGTCACCTTGCCTCGGTGGGAAATGACCGACATGTAAAAAAAAAAAATGCAAGTGTAGTGTGACCTAAGTGTAGGTAGTAGCAAGATATACCTGCTATCCCACATGTTTGAGACAGAATAAAGGACACCAGCAATCCTACCATCATGTAAAACAATTACAGGTTTCCTTTTCATACTCACTGGGCAGGATGGTAGTACACCTCCCTGGGCAGTTGCTGTCTACCAACCTATTACCTAAAACTCAGTAAACTTATTCCCCTAGAATTTTTACACTCTTTTTCTTTCCCTTCCCTTTATGTAGAGGAACTATACATGCTCTATGCCACTCCCTAGGTACCTTCCCCTCTTTCATACATTAATTGAACAAAAGTACCAACCACTCCAAAACTATATCTATCCCTGCTTTTAACATTTCTGTCATGATCCCATCAGTTCCAGCTAATTTACACCCCTTTCATTCTACCCAATGCCTCACAAGGTCCTAGATGCACTAGAAGACAAAAAGAATGCAGATGTAATATATACAGACTTTGCAAAAGCTTTTGACAAGTGTGACCATGGCGTAATAGCGCATAAGTTGGTAGATGGATCTATAATTTCCTCACAAACAGAACACAAAGCGTAGTAGTCAACAGAGTAAAGTTTGAGGCGGCTATGGTGAAAAGCTCTGTTCCACAAGGAACAGTACTCGCTCCCAT